ATGAACCGGAATCGCCAAACGAGCGGGCATGTTTATGATACATGACGAACCGGAATCGCCAAATGAGTGGGCGTGTTTCAGATGTATGTCGAACCCGAAACGCCACATTAGGGGGCTTGCAAGATATATGAAGCGGAATCGCAAAATGATGGGGTTCGTTTAAGATATAACATCACGGGCAAACCAGCAGCCTGCATAATTGTAAATTATTGGACACGCAGAGGAGTTTTGCACCATATTTTGTAAAGACCAGGAAACTTTGAGTTGGCGAGCGCCTAACGCCAGAACAACGGCAACGCAACAAATAAAGTGCAAACAAAAACACAATTCTCCACCCGGGACGCGCCCCCCTCAATTCCACCGCTTTTTAAACCGTGCAAGCTTGCTTCAAAGCATGTGGGTCCTTTTGAAATCCATCATGTGACCATTCTGTGTGCAAGTCGGGAGCCTGCGAAGCACATGAGTCTGATTGAAACCCAGCATTGTAATTGCAAATGAGGGGCACCCCCACCCAACCCCCCGGCCCACCGCTTCTTTGAGCCGTGCAAGCTTGCTTCAAGGCATATGAGTTTTCTGAAACCCATAAAGTGAGCACGGCCAACCCGCGCTTTACAGCCAGGGGGCCGAGGGAAAAGCCTCCCACGTGGTAGGGTCGGGAGCTGCAGGTATACCCTACAGCGCTGTGTTCAAAAAGCTCTTCTCCTTAGCCCTTTCATAAAACTACCATAAGGAGGAGTCCTAAAAGCTGTGGCTTTTGTTGGTTTTAGGTAAAGCCCGTGGCCATCTTTGCAATCGAAGCTACTTGTGCCCAGGACTTGCCGTACTTCTTCCCGATCTCCTTGAGCTCTGCGGGCGAGGGTGGGAACGCTGTGTGTTGCAAAAACACTAGAATCCCCAGTGCCCTAGGAATGAAAAAGGCTCCCGTTTTGGTGTTGGGTAGTGTTATGAGGAGCGACCTAGTGAAAGCCTACAAGAAGGAAAAAGGCCCATAGATTAGGTATTATCTGGCAGGCTTTGTATTGCAGCTCGGGCGTTAGGGTTCTTATTGAAAGGGTTCTGGGGGCTCAGCTGCTAAATCTAGGCTTATTGCTACGAGACACTCAAGATGGAGCAAGCTTTCAAGCCCTGAGCTCATTGCCTGTAGGATCATGGACCTTGACAGCATGCTTACTATATCAACACACTCTTAGGACCATGGAAGGCTTGTTGATCATGGTATGTAAGGGCATGCTACGGGGTTTAGGGCTCAGGGTCATGGCTGAGGCTTTAGTAACCAGTTGAATGGACACTCTCTTGAAGCGCCCACAGTACTAGGTTGCTCGCCAAGGATCTCTTGTGACATGACCAGCTTGTTACCAACTACCCTAAACCCTAGACCCGAACGCCCTTAACCCTGAAGTTCCCCTAAAAACTTAACCCTAAATCCTGAACCCTAAACTGATTACTAACGTAGAGGAGTTACGAAGCCCGGAAGGTCCATGCGCCCGCGTAGTAGGTACTTCGGCCCAAGTTTTCAAAAGTTGCTCTGTGATAGGAACCCATTTGAACCCTTAGAAACCCGAAACCCCAAAAAACCTATATTCTATAGCTACATGGACCCTTCGGAAAAGAGGCCACAGAAAGCACCAAGACCCGTCCTCACAAATTCGCCGGGCTGGCTTCGAAATGCCTAGGGCTGCTCCCGGGCTGTGGGATGTTTCGATGCTTGGAGAAGTCTTGCACCGATAAGTTTAAGAAGGGTTTAGGGTTTAGGATTTAGGGTTTAAGAAGCTCAATCGCTGCCCTGTCCCATACATGTATCCTAGAGTTCGTCTCTGATCAAGAATCTAGAAGCCGGCTTTGCAGTTATGTGATTAAGGCGCAGCGCTTGGTGCACAACAACCTCTGAGTCTGTGCTCTACAAGGACAGCAGGACATCACGAGAAACAAAACAAACGAAAAAGCTCGCAATCTCGATATCGATCCACAGTCTGCCGCAGATAGCCTGCCAATGTTGCACACCCAGGACTTACTATAATCTACTATCAACTACTATAGCTATGAGACGCCTCCACATGCAACATACTATGAACACCCCTCCACCGGAACTGCCACATCGTCCAAAAACCATGCCCGCAACCCTACAGTCTCACAGTGCCTCAAATCTAACCGCTTGGCCCAAACACCCTAGATTAAAGCAGCTAGACACCGAAAGCCTTCAACACCATGTTACATATGTAGACCCGGCAACCTGGACATACAAATTCACCCCTGGGAGAGTGAACTAAACATATAAGCCTTAAACCCTCTATAAGCCCCTTCTACACAAGAACATATTTCATGACTTGATTCCTTCGGTCCCCAAAACCATGCCTGCAGCCCCAAACCCTTACAAACCTTAATTTAAAGGATATAACATGATATAACCATTGAAGCCGTAGTTTCTTGGATCCACAGGTAAGCCTCACAGTCCCCTCAACAAGAATCCCTACTCCCTGCCCGTATAAAAGTATAAACCCTGAATCCCGCATAAGCTGCAATTTACCCTAAGGGTCCAAAGGACTCAATAATCATGTACTTGGGTTACGGATAGTAGTTTTGTAGGTTCGTATTCAGAAGAGTATATGATTATTAGGTACTAGGACCCTTAGTGTTAGAGGCTTGAATGCTCAGAACAGGATTGTGGGGTGTATTGTAGCATAGCACAGCTATGTTGGGTTCAGCAGGGGATAGTAGTAAAGGTTAATCCGACCTCATACCGCTCTATACTTTGAAAGTCTGAACTCCGACCTCTAAACTCTAAAGCCCAGATCACCCGGGTCCCAACTCCTACTGTTGATGGTATATATCCTGCCTTACCTTAATGACCCTAAACCATGGGAATTATGGTGTATTTCTTATTCTGGGTTTATAACATCAACCGTAACAACCCCCAACCCCAAACCTGTAGCACCCCGCTCAAGAAAGCACACATACAGCCTTCCCGAAAGAGTTCTGAAAAATGCATGCCCACTTCAATACTTTATTAGCATGCATTAAACCAAAGCACAGAACTGTATCTCCTTCAAAACCGTAACCCTAAATCCGATTTAAATCCAAAAACCGTATAACCCCTACACCCTATCAACCCTAAACCCTATCAACTCTAAACCCTATCAACCCTAAACCGTATCAACCCTAAACCCTATCAACCCTAGACCCTATCAACCCTAAACCCTATCAACCCTAAACCCTAACAACCCTAAACTCCATCAACCCTAAACCTTTTCAACCCTAAACCCTATCAACCCTAGACCCTATCAACTCTAAACCCTATCAACTCTAAACCCAATCAACCCTAAACCCTATCAACCCTAAACTCCATCAACCCTAAACCTTTTCAACACTAAACCCTATCAACTCTAAACCCCATATCAACCCTAAACCCTATCAACCCTGAACCCTATCAACCCTAAACCCTAAAACCCTAATAAACCCTAAACCCTAAACCCTAATAAACCCTAAACCCTAATAATACTTGAACCCTAATGAACCCTAAACCATAAACCCTAAACAATCCTAAACCCTCTTCTCCCAAGCGGCCTCCTGTGCTCCCTCCCAACGGAGCCCAAGCCTGTACCACGACCTCGAAACTTCCAAAGAGGCAGCTGCTAGGTTCAGGGTTGAAGGGCCACAAATCAAGATAAGGGGGTCTAGAAGGAGTCAAAAAGTTTTTGTTCTCGATGAAGCTCCGATATTCTTTGACAGCGTCATTGGGGAGCGTTCCCGGTGTTACGTAAAATCGATTGTAGGAGGTTGGCGTGGGCTTCCGTGATTGTGGGCTTAGGTTTCGGCATGTAGGGCTGGAAGCCGCCGGTCGAGCGTCTCAAGGAGGGCTTAGATTTATAGGGTTTAGAGTTTTAGGGCTTAGGGTGTGGAACCCTGCGGATAGTCTATATCAAAACACACACCTTGAACCCCAAACCCCAAACCCTAACCAAGGCTCTTCGTTGGTCGCTCAGAAAGAACTCTTGGGTGTGGGGGTACGTCTTCACTCTCATTGTTTCAGGGTAGTTGGGACAGAAAACCCTACTACTCGAGTACTTGGACAACCCTCCCAAACACTGCACGAAACCCTTAACCCAAAACCCTAAACCCTAAGAAGCCCTGCCACTTAGTACCCCTAGACCCCTACCCGAATCGATGCTAACTCATTCTGCTTGGTGATCGTCTTATCTTGAACTTCCGTGAATTGCAAGGAAGAAACTTGGCAACAAGTAGAACCTCAGAACTACAAGCCTAAACCCTAAACCCCCAAGACATTAAGGCATTTCTTCCAAGTCACGCCCCGCTTGCTGTTTTCCTCGAGGATATTAGGCTCGGCATAGCTGATGGAGAACGGGAGCTGATTTACCTGAGGGTTTAGGGCACACGGGAGCTGATTTACCCGAGGCCGGCAATCCTTCCTAAACAGCAAAACTACGCAAGTGGACCAGGTCGCAGGTAACGAATAAAAACCCCATGCCTTGCAGCAAAGGGTCCTATGCCGTCTAATTCAGACGAGCTTGGGAATCTCTAATCTCCCAGAAGCCACGGTTTAGGGTTTAGGGTTTAGGGAACGAAAACCCAGCTGAGTTGCCATCGGCGGTGTGGCTGAGGAGTTAGAGAGCAAGCAATCCAGCTGATCTGGGGAGAAGTTGCTGACCTTGGGGTGTGGAGCAGAAGAACAAAGGGATCTGAATAATGAAATGAAAAGCAATACTACCAGAACCCCTATCGCACCCCCCCTTCAAAAGAAAAGACAAAAACCCTAAACCCTAAACTGTTATCCCTTTATGAACTCGAGGGGTCATGCTTCCACTCTTCGAGGGACCTCCGAACCCCCGCTCCCCAAGACCCTAAGCCCATAACCTCCCAACACTTATTACACTCCAACACCCCAAACCCTGAACCCCTAAACACCTCAACCCTAAACCGTAAAACCTCAACCTAAACCCCTAAACCCCTAAACCCGTAAACCCTAAACCCACTCCAACATCCTGAAAACCCTAGAAAGCCCCTAGAGAAGCCCTGAGGCCGCCTACGGATACCCGAAGCACTATGAAGCCCTCTAGGGTGTAGGGTTTAGGGTGTAGGGTTTATGGCTTGGGGTGTAGGGTTTCGGGGGTTAGCGTTTTGGGTTTCCGCGTAGAAACCCTGGGGGCACCTTCAACCAGCATCTCAGCACAGAAAAGCACTGAAGCCCTATGGACACGGTCTCACATCCAACGGCAAGACCTGAGGTAAACCCTAAACCCCAAACCCTAAAACCCTAAAACCCTAAACCAAAAACCCTAAAACGATGAGGTCTTAATGATTGGAACAACCTTGTGGGGACGTCTTCATTCAAGGCCAGAGTCGCTTACGGGCGTGAGGGAGTGAAGGCTCAAGGCTAACATGGGTCTTGGGTTCACAAGATAAGGTTGCTGGTTTCAGGTTAAATCTTCAGTTATAGGGTTTTAAACCCGATTTTGAGTGCTTGATCCCAGACAAAGGCTTGCAGTCGTATGTGATCCTGGAGGGCTTCGGGGTTTAGGTTCAGTTCAGGGGGTGCGGGGCATCATGGTTAGGACAGGATTAAGGCGACCCTTGGGATGTAGACCCTCTCACTAAAATCCCTTCTAAACGAGCCATACGTAGGGTTAATCAGAGTCTGCTTTCAGGGCTCTCCCTACTGCTACCTATAGGGATGGTGCCCACGCGGGTCCTGACAAATTCTGCCCTAAATCCTAAACCCCTAAACCCTAAACCCTAAATCCTAAACCCCTAAACCCTAAACCCTAAATCCTAAACCCTAAACCCTCGACCACATCCTCAAGCCACGGCCCCAAAGTCGAAACCCTGAACACGGACACTTTCCCTAAGGCTCCAGGTGCCCAAATAGTATATACTTGGGCCCCAAAGTACCTAGAGAGGGACTACTTTTAAAGGCCGACGTATATACTACTTGGGTGCATGGACCCTTAGGGTTACCAGGCTTTGTCCTGCACTCAGACCGTCGTAAGGATGGTTTAAAAGCCAAGGCTTTTGGGGTCGCTTGTGCCGCTGCAATCCAAGGCACTGCCAAGCTCTTCGTCTGACCTGCGGCAAGCATCTCCTGCGCAAAGCAAACAGCAGGACTTCGGTGAAGGGTTGGGTGAAGGTTTGTGGGCTCGGGATTTCGGATTGCTCAGGATTGGAGTTCACGGTTAGGGGCTCTAATTTTCTGTTCAAAGGGCCGGAGACGCGAGCCCTTCACGAAAAGGCCCGCTAAGTACTCTGACCGACAGCCGAAAGGCCCAAGATCGGACGACTTGGTTCGATTACTTCGGAAAGCCATGCGAAGCGTCGCGCTGTCTGAACTTTCTACGGCAGCCCACTCGGCAAGCAAATCCAGGAGGCCAGCACGAGGCAGCTTGGAGGATCAAAAGCTAATGAGGTTCTGCAGGATATGCTCATTGGTTTAGGGTTTAGGGTTTAGAGTTTAGCGGGCTTGTATGGGGATTGGGAGCGGTCTGGTAGGCAGCTCGCGAATTATCGATTCTCACGGGCTTCGAAACTCCACATTCATGCTCCCATCGTTGTCTGTCAAAGCCAGCCATTCTGGCCTTTCCACGCCGGCCCGACCCCGAATCCTATCAGGTCCAAATGCGCTGATCCCGCTTCCAAGCTCAGAACCCCGTCGCAGCTCGAGCACTTGGAAGGTATATCCCATGGCCACACTGCCCGTCTTCTGGCCTCGGCTATCTCGACAGTTCAAGCCGATGCTAGAAATCACAGTGTACCAGCCGGGCATCAAGTTTGGTCGGGAAGAGTCCAACATTCTTAGAGCTCGTGCCCCGACTACCGGCGTGGCAGATGCAGCCGGCCTCCCACCTCCCACAATGCTGAGGCCATGGGTCGTAGCCACAGATGCAACCACGGAGGCAGCCACGGTTGCAGCTGTGCCCAGAGCACCCCAACGCCCATGCCCTGGCTGCCGCAGCATTGCAGCACCCGTAGCCCCAGCTGCAATGAACGCATGGTCTCCAGCCACAAACTTCTGAACTGAACCGGAGCTGTCCTGCGAGATCATGAAAACCACAGAACCCGGAACTTCGGTAGAGAACCACAACGATGCCGCAGTGCGCGAGCCACCAAAACCATGGTGAGGCAGCTGGTTGGCATAGACGTGGTTTGCGTAGACCAGCCCATCAGTGCTAATGAGAGTCATGCCGTCCATGTTCATGTGCTGGCGGACGATATCCGCGCCCTCAGCTCTCAAAATGTTGATGCCTTCTTCTGGTCGGAAGTCACTGTGTCCTCGGATATGTCCACAACGAAGGACTGCCGTGGGATCTCCGAGGATCAGGGCGTGACCTCGCTTCACCCCCTCCACTCCTTGAGAAGCGTAGTGCTGAGCTATCTCCAACGCGGCAGCGATGACGTCGTCAACGACGCTGCTCTGCAACTCAATCATGGACAAGGTGGCTGATCGCAGAACTTCACAGATAAGACAGGTAGTTGGAGCAGCAGCTACCTTCCCATTCCCGTCTGGCGACAAGTGACAGTGTATGGGCAGTGTGCTGAAACCCGGCAGAAAGGCTTGATCATACAAGCGCTACACAGAAACAAAAAACGCATAACGTTTGTCAGACAAGCCCCACATACAATGCAAGAGCAACAGACTACGCAACAACACTATGAATACATCCATGGTTATCAGTTTATCGACGTGCTATCAGCTTGAGCCGGCATCAGCCCTGCCATCCTTGGCCGGGATGATCTAGGATTTGCAGGACAAACCTGAAACTCAATGCTCAATCCTTTCAGCTGCGTGATGAAGGAACCCTGCATCTCAGCTGTGGCGAGCATAGAGCCGCCGTCCAGCCTTTAAAATCCTAACTCCCCGGTATCCTAAGCCCTAAACTCTAAACCCCCAAAAGCCCCTAAACCCTCGACTGCAGGACACACAAAACACACTGAACAAAACATACCCAAGGCTCACACGACAGGCCATACTGGGTGCAAACGACAATGCTGTCTGTTCGACGCTTGGACTATCTCATATGGCTAGGGTTTAGTTTCGCGGCCCTGGATTTCCTAGATTCAAGAACCCAACTTCTCCGAACTGGTCTTTCAATCAGAACCTATACGACCGGGCCTGCTCAAGATGGTCAGGAACAGGACAACCCTTCGATGGGACAACTGCTACACCCTGCACCAACCCTAAACCCTAAACCCTAAAACCCTAAACCCTAAACCCTAAACCCCAAAAGCCCTAAAAGCCCTAAACCCCAAAAATCAGAACAGGAACCCCGGGCCATCCACAGAACTCCGCCTTGGGTCGGCACCCGGAGAGCAAACCTGAGATCCCTGCAACCCCTGCACGGTTTAGGGTTTAGGGTTTAGGGTTTTAGGATTTAGGGTTTAGGATTTTAGGATTTAGGGTTTAGGGTTTAGGGACACTATAGCCCCAGGCTCAAACTACTGTAGTACAAAAGCCTCGCGACACAGGCTCTTAATCTTTTACTGTAGAAGGTACATCATATTATGCATCTCCCTCTCTCCCTCTCTCTCTCTCTCCCTCTCCCTCTGTCTCACTGTAGAGGGTACATCACATTATGTAGTTATCCTGGTTTGAGGAGCCCCCAGGAAAAGCATTTTAAAACGATCCGGCGCCTTTAGTATTCTGTGGTCCTCGGGCCCCCGAGCCTAACACGTGAGTCCTTATAGGGCCAGCCATAGAGTTCATGGCTCTGCTTTAAGGTGTTTGGGGGGTTAGAGCTTATAGGCTTGCAGGATTTAGATAAGGTGTTAGGGGTTTAGAGGTTTAGGGGTTATAGAGCTTATATAGGCTTATAGGCTGGTAGGGTTTAGAGTTCGCGGTTTAGGGTGCATTCTGACAAGGCCGGGGCCGTACAAGCACTGAGGACTCAAAGCCTTGTCGGCCTCGACGTTTAACGCCAGAACTCGGTCGGTGTAGGGTTCACCTTAAACCCAATTTTTACCTACCCTGGACCCTTTTAGTGCCCTTTCTTTCGGACTTCCCTATACCCAAAGGCTCCATGTACCCATATAGTATATACTTAGGCCTTAGAGGGGTTCCTATATGGGTACTTTACGGCATAAGTATATACTATATGGGTACATGGAGCCTTTGGGATATAAGTCCTTCAAGAAGTAGGCTTTCTGGGGTGTAGGAAGGGAATCCTCAGAAGTCCTACGGGCACCACCTGAGGTTTCTACCTTGCCCTGAAGGTCCCATGTATCTGCAGAGTCTGTATTTAGGGTTTAGGGTTTAGGGCTTAGGGTTTTAGGGTTTAGGGTTTAGGGCTTAGGGTTTTAGGGTTTAGGGTTTAGGGTTTAGAGCTTAGGATTTTAGGGTTTCGGGTTTGGGGCTTATGGTTTAGGGTTTTTAGGGGTACTTATATAAGCCTTGACCAACGCGGTTCCTATGTAGCAACCGTAAGGGTCCATGTACCGGCCTTAAAATAGTCCCTATATAGGTGCTACTTTAAGGCCAACGTATATACTGCTTGGGTACATGGACCCTTAGGGATGTAATTAGTAACCTTGAGGAAAGTATGCACTACATCTGCACATGGATCCTCTCAGGCAATATAGTAAACCCTACCAAGTAAAGGAAGGAACCGTTCAAGTAAGCCCTTGAAGGAACAGGGACTCCTTCAACCCTCATGGATCCCGTATAGAACCACCTCATAGCATCCTTATTCAGCCCATGATAGAACCCCTCCAGTAAACCCTGAACCCTAAACACCCTGAAAGGGGCCCTCAAGGGTCAGCTTCTGTTGGGAAAACCCCAAAGATCTGTAGAGAAACTCCTCAAAGGCTTGCCATTGGCCCTTGATGGAGTCGCAGTTGGGTCCTCCGCATTCTTTCTTTAAAGCCAGTTGCCTATGTAAAATACAAGTTTTACACTTGCCTTGTGAGGTTTGCTCGGGTTTTCTTTGTTTGGGGGCTTTCAGGTGTACCTAAACCCCCCTAAAAAGGCAAAATGATGGCCCCGCACCGACAAAAGGCTGCTGTTCTGCATACTTTTGGGGTTTGGATAGGATTTAAGGTCTAAGGTTCAGGCAGGGAAAGAAGCCTCTAGGCAAGATCCCAAGGAAGGACCGGTCCGTCCTGGGTAGTCCAACATGATCATGTCCTGGGCTCTACAGCAGAAACAGGGAGAGCAAGAAGCAACGAACCCTAGAAACCCCCTAAGCCCTAAACCCGTTATGGCTTCTATAAGGATTCTTAAATTTCTTGGGTTTAAGGCTCAGGCAATAACACATCCCGATGGAGCTTGATGCACTAACAGTCACTAAGAAACTTTACAACACGTCGGACTTCAAAGCCCAGCATCCAGATAGGTGATGCCGCCGGCAGCGAACTCCTGCAGATTCTCCTGGCTGTCTCAAAAGAGTCCTAAGTACCGACATGGGGGGGGGGGTATACTTAGCCGAATCAGAATAGTAATTCCAACTGTAGAAGCCCTACTTGCTACTTGCTAATTGCTACTACATAGGTACCTATAGCACACTCTGGGTGTCTTGTTCTTCAGAGCTGGTCGAGCGGGCGTCATTGAGAGTTTCGGGAGCCCGAAAAGCTTTCATAATCTGTATGTCAGAGCCGGAATAAGTAGAATCGGGCATTGGGGATCAGGAAAACATATAGAAGCATAGACACACTATAAAGGGGTATATGATTACTTGGCATTTTTACATCCCACATATAACAGTTCGCTACACCCTCCATCCAGAAGCATTTGCGATACTATAAGCAACCGATACGGACCACGGGCTAAGGGTTTACCTGAAGCCCAGAGACCTTAGGAATCTTTAGCGCGATTTCGTGATAGAAGTCCATAACAACGTCATTCCTTTGCTTAGTTGTTGAGTTCAAAAGCCCAAAGAAGTGTACACTTTCAGTTTTATACGGGGTTATATTATCCCAAAATGTTTAAAGTGCAGCCATTCAGCATCTAAGTTTGGGGTTGAGGCACGTAGGGTTTAGGGCATGGGCGGGTTTGGGTTGTGAGTTCGCAGTGGGCACCCTGCACGAAGTCTGCTAATCATGCCCATCGCGGAACAAAGCGCCCACGAGAAACCTAAACCCTAAACCCTAAACCCCTACACCCTCAACTCTAAACCCTAAAACACTAAACCCTAAATCCCTGAACCTAAACCCTCACAGACATTGTGCGGCTAATGTCTGAAAAGTTTGCGGTTCAGGGGCTCATGTTGAGGCGTTCAGGCTCCGGCGCTCCCCAGAGAACCCAATACTCCTTAATTAAGGAATATACCTTAAAAATTCTAGGGGCCTTAATAGTATGATTTAAGGTATAGTCCTTAATTAAGGGGGCATTGGGTTCTCTGGGTCTGTGAATGCCCTTAGGTTCTCATGACCCATGTTGTCAGGCTCTGGGGCCAAACGACCAATATCCAAATTGTTCGGGCGAATTCTCGAGCTTTAGGGGAAAGGGTGTAAGTAGGGGCGGGGTGTACTGATTTCCGAAAACCTTGACACTTACATCTTCAAGGCGTCGTTGTGATGAGGTCCTAAGCCCTAAACCCCTCAATCCTAAACCCTAGATCCTAAACCCTGAACCCCAAAACCCTGAACCCTAAACCCCTAGATTAATTTGCTCCAAAAGGGTAGGTCTGGAAGAGTGTGGATCAGGGTGGGGAGGTAGGGGAATTCAGAGGCCGCTATGGTGCCCCCAACTCCGCCTGTATATACTGCAGAACCCTTATAGCACCCACAAAAGAACCCTTTGCGGGAACCTTAAAACCTTGAACGGTAGAACCCTTATAGTAATCCCTATAAATATAATAGAACCCTTCCTGGAACCTTTCAAGAACCCTTCTCTCCTGGCATCCTTTCTTCGTCGCCTTGTACGCCGACTTGTAGCCTGTTTTCATTTAGCGTTTGGGTTTCGCCAGGTTGAAGGCTCGTGGAGGAGGGGCTTCATGCAGGGTTCAGGGTCAGGGTTCAGGTTTGGTGTTTAGGGTTTTTAGGGTTTAGGGTTCAGGGTTAGGGTTCAGGGTTTGCTGTTGAATAGCACTTAGGCGACACAAGGTTATGTCGAGTTCATCGTGCTACCGCGACGAGCTGCAAAAGCCTGTGTGTGTGTGTGTAGGTTTTTTCCTTCTTTCTTTCCCACCCCACGCCATATAAGGCGGCCAAGCCAAGCAAACCCTAAACCCTAAACCCCTAAACCCTAAACCCTAACATAGTCAACGGCAGCCTGACTTTTCCTGGAGGCCATCGGCACACAAGAGATTTTTCCCACGGCAGGAATCGCGGAGACTTATCGCACTGTCCCCTCTGGTTTTGCCGTGTCTTCCAGCTCTGCACACCAACACACGTAGTGACGTCGTGGTACCGGTCGCGTGCGCAGGCGATGAAGATGGGGTGCGAGGTGCGGGTGCCCTATATGAAGCCGTATACGGCTCCATGTAATTACGCTAC